ATTTAATTGAATACATGCATGTTGTGTTTGAGCTTTGTTCTTGAAGTTTATTTGGAAATTGTGTTCAATTGACTTACCTTTAGGCTTGATTTTACAAAATTGATCTTCAAAACATGTTGTAGTATGAGTTTTCAAGTGTTTTCCAGAAAATGGGCCCAAAAGGTTGAGTTTTGATGTGTTGAATGCTTTGTTTGAGCTTGGGAGGTAAATCTGGAAATTTCAGATTTTGGCTTCCACGCTCGAGCGACCATCTTTTGTTCAGAGCTCCGCTTAAGCGAAGGGATGCTGGCTCGAGTGTAGATTGCAAGCTTTCAGGTTTTTAATGCACGCAGACGCACACTCGAGCGAGAGAACCTACGCTCGAGCGAGGACTGTGTCTTACGCTCGAGCGAGCGTCGAGCGAGCATCGGCCGGGGATTTTCAACATCCATCACTTTTTGCATTTTTACAGACCGCTCGAGCGAGGAAGTCCACGCTCGAGAAGTTTATTTGGAAATTGTGTTCAATTGACTTACCTTTAGGCTTGATTTTACAAAATTGATCTTCAAAACATGTTGTAGTATGAGTTTTCAAGTGTTTTCCAGAAAATGGGCCCAAAAGGTTGAGTTTTGATGTGTTGAATGCTTTGTTTGAGCTTGGGAGGTAAATCTGGAAATTTCAGATTTTGGCTTCCACGCTCGAGCGACCATCTTTTGTTCAGAGCTCCGCTCAAGCGAAGGGATGCTGGCTCAAGTGTAGATTGCAAGCTTTCAGGTTTTTGGTGCACGCAGACGCACACTCGAGCGAGAGAACCTACGCTCGAGCGAGGACTGTGTCTTACGCTCGAGCGAGCGTCGAGCGAGCATCGGGCGGGGATTTTCAACATCCATCACTTTTTGCATTTTTACAGACCGCTCGAGCGAGAAAGTCCACGCTCGAGCGACCCCACTGTTTTGAAAAGCTCGCTCAAGCGAAGAAAGCCATGCTTGAGCGAGACCCCTGTTTTCTGAAAATTTTGAAAAGTGTTTTAAAGTACATCTTTGCATCCTCATTTCATCCTAGGCATTCCTAGGCCTAGTTTAAGGCATCTTAATGAGGTTATTGATGTAGAACCACACCGAGTCAAGTTAGGGACTTAGTTGTTGATTCCCAAGTGTGTAACTTAGTGTGTGTTTGTTCTGTAACTGTGTAGGGTTGGCATCCGAGGACGTTCATTAGCTGCCTATAGCCCAGTGCTCTGTGAGTAACAATGTTGTAAAGATATGTTTAATCATGAATATTTTCTGAATGATCTACTGTACTGTTTTCTGAAATGAAATTTCTTACTGAATGAATGTTTGTCTTATTTGTGCACTGAATTCGTGGCATCCATAACAATCTACTGTTACTGTACTGTTACTGCTACTATTACAGAGATCTTTGTCGGTTCCCATGTTTGGAACCATTACTGTTTACTGTTATGATGGCCATCAACTGACTGTTCGGTCTGTTAAGACCTACTGTACTGTTTTGCTATTGGATGTACCACATAGAACTGATATGGTTTCTAAATGACTAATATGACTGTTAAATGACTGAAAGGACATTCATTCCTAACCTCTTTACACAGTTGTTATTCACTGAATTTTAGCTCACTGTTTATATTTATATGTAGGTGTTCAGGCACCGGATCGATGCTAGGAACGTCGGGTTAACTCCCTTTTTGTCAAGCCAACCATTGTGCCTCACCTCGAGGTTCCAAGTCTGACCGAACTAAGGTTGTTTTAGGGTGTCTTAGTTTCACCCTTCCGTCTCTGTTTTGTAATACTGTTTAAGACTTGTACAACACTCTGAATGTTGTACATATGGTGTATTTATGTTTTGCTTATGAATGTGAATATGTTCGAAAAAGTCTTTTTGCATACAGACTGTCACAGCTCATTGGACATCTTTTAGTACTGTTTTGGCTTCCACTAGCCCTTGTACTCTGTATTACTGTCTTTACTGTCAAGCAGGCCTTCGGTAATCACGGATTACTGCCCGGTTACGGTGTTAAACCCATAGGGGCGGGTTTGGGTCGTGACAGATATGATGGTTGCAGATCCCATGACCAAAGGTCTTTCTGTAAAGGTGTTTTCAAAACACGTTGAGGGCATAGGACTGATTGGTTAACTCAATAATTTTTCTAGTTGTTGTTTTATTTTGTTTTGTCGTAACATTTTGATTATTATTAGTGAAAAACATCATTTTGTGCACCTAAAGTATTTGTGATGCTATGCAGTCCATTGGGACTATTGATCCATACGGATCATTGGACCCATAATAACTTATTAGAAGTTATTCATAAAGAATGACACCACATAAAGTTGAAAGTGTGATACAATGTAATACATGGAAGTAAATACTTCCTTGATAGAGTATAACCGCCATGATTCATGTATTATAACTCTAAAGGTTTGGGTATTTTTATTTAATGGGCATACTCAGTTTGTTAGTTACCCGACAGTTAACAACGTGTGTTATATGTGCCAAGTGGGGGAATGTAAGAATATCCATAAAGTGGTCCATATGCCACATGTTTTATTTATTTATATTATATATATTTAATTAGTTTAATGGTTAATGGGTAACCAACGTCTGTTCACTATCCCATATGGTGGTTTCATGAGACTTTACAACTTCCCTGATGGTGGGAAGTTATAAGGAGTTATATTTGGATATGGGTCCAAGCCTATCTATATCTATGCCTGTGATAGCCATCAAACACAGACGTTGTTTTGTGAATAGAATAGGCTTGAAACTCTGTTCCTTCCACTTTTCCCATATGGTTCTGTAAAAGTATTCAGTGAGTGGGTTTTGTTTATACATTCAAGATTTGATCATTCAAGGATAAAGATTCAAAGGCTTGAACATCATGGCAGGAGGTATTCTTCTTTTTGAATTAAAATAATTTTAATTCTCACAATGAGGAGATCTATACTGCTGGACAAACTAATAAAAGAGGTGTCAAAGATCAAAAGAGAACTTTGGGACTCAATTTTAAGATACCAAACACCCCCAATTCAGACCATCCAAATCAAGAGGTAGAAGTATGGACAAAGATAGAATCTCAAAACAGTAAAACTAGTAATGGAAAGTGTAAATGATTTTACATGATCAAACAATAAAATCAAACATAGATACACCTAAAAATAAAGAAAACAGTCAGAATTTTTTTATGATTTTATTATTCTTATTTTAAAGAATAGGAGATGGTATTTGTTACCCAAAAGACAACCTAAGAGGGGGGGTGAATTAGGTTTTTACAAATAAAAGTAATAATGCCCTAATAAAAATTAGCACAATAGATAAATATAGTTAATGAAATAAAAATAATTAAAACAAGTGTTCTAACAACTATGTCAATTAATGATTTTAGCACAATAAAAATATGAAATATAGTTATGAGAATTTAAATAAAATAAAGAGATAAGCGAGAGAGAGAGACAAACAAATTTATAGTGATTCGGCTTCAACTCGGCTTACGTCAACTCCTCAAGTTTCACTTGAGATTTTTCACTATTCTCTAGCTTCACAGGGTGCTAGCAACCATTTCACAGATGGAGCAATCCTCCACGGATTTTACACGGACTTTCTAAGTCCAAAAGCACTGAGTGTACTACAGTCTTATAAGATTGAAAAGAAGGTGTTTTTGCTTTCACAAAAAACTACAAGAATTATCTCTCAAAGATAGATATAAAAATAAAATTCTGATTTTTCTGTAACCCTCACACAGAAAAGATGGGCTTAAATACGACTCAATGTATAATTTCTGAAAGAGGATGTAAATAAAAAATTGAATAACACTTCTCAGAGAATTTTTCAGAGAATAGATGAGAGTGATTTTAGATCAAAGAATATTTTCTGGTTTCTGTAACTTGTTTGTAGTTGCTGTTTCTTGTTCACATCAGAGGCTTTGGTATATATAATGAAACTTATAGCCGTTGTATTCATTTGAATATCTTCCACTCCATCATTACTAATTTGAACTTGTGAGAGACAAGATCATTACTAATTTGAACTTGTAGGAGACAAGATCATTACTAATTTGAACTTTTTGACCTCCTACTGTTTTGAGTTGTTTTAACCTCTGTTTTGGACTGTTTGAACCTTTGTTTTGGGCTGTTTGAACATCTGTTTTTGGTTTGAAATGAACTCCTGATTTAAGCAAATATTAAATACATTTTAACATTATTTAGGATAAAAATTTAGTAAGTAATAGTAAAATAAATTTTGATTTTATTTTTTTCTTCCAAATAAATTAAAACATAATTAAATAAATCATCAAAATAAATTTTGATTTTATTTTTCTCTTCCAAATAAATTAAAACATAATTAAATAAATTATCAAAATAAATAAGTGTAACAGTATCATACTCACACAATGAGGAAAATTGTCAAATGAAGAATACTAATCCTCCAAAAATAGATATTCCAAATCCAAAAGAAACCCAAAAGGAAAGGAATTTCCACTCAGAAGATATGCTTCAATTGGGATAATAATCTATGGAACCCAACAATTCAAATTTCATAAATCTAAACAAAACCAATTAGATACAAACTCAGAACAAAGATTATACTTTACAAAACAATTCTTCACAAAAACCAACCCCAAAATATTCTGATCATTCAATGGGACAAAGATCAAAGTTATCATCAGAAATGGAGGGCTAACGACTGAAAGGAGTGGAGAAAGTGAAAGAAAATACTGTGTATAGTTGGGGTTTGGGAATGAGAGGCGATGGCTGATGGTGAAGTGGCTGGTGAGATGGTAGTGGGTAAGATGTGGATGGAGAAATTGTAAGATATGTGGGTGAGATGTGTATAGAGAAATTGTAAAATGTATGAGTGAGATGGTAATTTTGTTAAAAAATAAAATTATAATTCTAAAAAAATTCATTAAACTTTAGTGTGTAGAACTTCCCCAATTATTGATTTCCACTGCCTCCACTCCCTCATTTTTCTACTGCCACATAAACACACACTCTCTCTCTCTAAAATATATACACATAATCCATACATGTATATATTTTCTCTCTCTAATCAGACAAGAGTCGCTCCACTTTTTTAACACACATGACCGGCGGCGGAGGCGACCACCACCTGCCGCCGCAGTCTCCGTCGGATAACAGCGGCGAATTTCTCCTCCAGATGCTCCGGAGGCCACCACCACCACCCCACCATCCTCCAACGCCGCCGCAGCAACCACCACTTCTACCATCCTCCCACACCAGACCTCCACCATCACCACCACCACCACCACCACCACCGCCGCCGAATCTCTCTCATGATCCGGCAGTTGCGGCCGTAGGTCCCACCCTCCCTTTCTCTCCATTCCCATCCAATGGTCACGATCTTCCGTTCCATCATCGTCCTCCTTGGCCTCACTCACCTCCATTGGCACCTGACAACTTCTTCCTCCAGGGTTTTCCCCAAAACCCTAACCCTAGTTGGTCTCCTTCACCACCACAAAATCCCCATTTCAATACTCAGTTTTTAGCCGACGATATTCGAAAACTAGGGGTTTTCAGTTCAATCCCTAGACCGGACTCATCTCATCAGCATGATCAAATCCTCATGTTTGGCTCTGTTCCTTGCGAAATTCGAAGCGATACTTTAGCTTCTGCAGCTAAAATCCATGGTTTATTGTCAAAGGAGAGAGAATTAACCCAAGGGAATAGGCAATTCAATGGTTTGGAGGCTAATTTTCAAAATTCCCCCAATTTTAGTCCAAACCCTCTGGTAGATTCGCATGCTTTTCAGAATCAAGGGCAAGAAAGAAGTAGCAGTGGCAATTTGAAGCTAGGTGTTCTTCCCTCCAGGCCGCCACCGGGGTTCCCAACCAAGCCCAGTAATTTGGGGAATTTGGAGTCTGGGAATAGGAGTTTTGATCATAATGTGGATAAGGAAAAGATTAGTTTTGGTGAATTGAGCCACATGGGTTTAACTCCAAACCATGACAATGTGAGAGAAAAAAGATTGCTTCTTGATCGAAAGATTCGTGGCGATAAGATGGCTGAACGGCGATTAAGCAGTCAGTTTGGTTGCCCTGGCCCATCACCAGGAAGTAACCTTCATTCAGTTTCAGGATCTGATGTTGAAGAGTCTCTGTTGGAATTGCATGACGAGATTGGTGAAAATGAGAAAAAACCCAGATATAGGTTTCAGGACGACTTAAGGAGGCGTGGTGATCGAGTTCGAAGTGAATTAGATGATTTGGATGAACAGGTTGAGGGCTCTTTAGTATGCGAGGATGAGTCTGATGACAAGAATGATCAAAAGCCACATCAGAGTTCTCGAGATAAGGTAAAAGCTTTACTCTTTGGTCTTCATGAATTAATTCCACATCAGAGGTAAGTGTAGTTTAATTGGAACGGAGTTAAAACCTTGTGGTGTTGAGGTTTTATTGGAAAACTTACCTAAACTAAGAAGGTTCCAGAGATTAACTCTTAATCCACTAGGGAAAATGGTTGAGGTCTCGAATTTTCCTCGAAATCCAATTAATTTTATTTATTTATTTATTTTTATTAATTTGTTGGGCTATGTTAGTTTGGTTTTTTTTTTTTTAATTTTTTTTTTCTCTCTTTTCTTTATAGGGGTGATTATATATAGGGGTGTGCTAAAAAATTAAACATTTTATAAGTGAGTTAGGTTGGACTGATTGGGTAATAAAATTGACTGATCAATTTTTTTTTAATTTAATTTTATTTTATTTGTTAGGCTGTGTTGGTTTTTTTTTTTTTAATTTTTTTTTAAAGGTAGTTATGTGTAAGGGTGTGTTAAAAAACTAGACATCCTGTACCAACTCATCGTACAAAATTATATAGAATTAATGAATTTTAATCAACAGTCTGACTGATTGGTCGATTAAGTTGGACCGGCTAAGTGATAAAATTGACTGATCAGTTAAACTGTTGGTTAAATTTTGTTAATTTCATATAATTTTATAAGATGAGATGGTGCGAAATGTATAATATTTTATATTAAACTTTAAAAAAAAATATATTAATACAAACAGCAGCCGAAAAAAAAAAAAAAAAAACAAAAACAAAAACAAAACAAAACAAAACAAAACGGCATTCGAGCCAAATTCGAGGCCTCTATCACTACTGATCCACTAAGTAGTATTCATATTAGAAGTGTAATGGTTTTTGTTCAGAATTGTCTACATTGGTTTGTTGGTAATACTTGAATTCAATAAAATTGTTCAACCTTAGTGAAGATCATCTATAATTACACAAGTGAAGGATACTTCTTAGTTTGGGTCATTAATAACTGGATTATATTATATGTACATATAATGCTTTTAGGCAACTCTGTTAAAACCAAGAAATGCAGATCTTCCTACTATTTAACCATAATAAAGTGGGTTTCCAAGAAGTATTTTTTTATTTATCAAAAAAAAAAAAAAAAAAGTGGGTTTTCCAAGAAATTTATCATGTGTAAAACTTTTTTGGAGCAGGGTAGACTGGGAGGAAAGGATAGTCAGACTTGGGAATAGGAGGCGGTGGAGATATTTTGTTGTGTAAGATTGAAAGTGGAAGAAAAAGTAAAATGAAAGGCAAGTAAACCCACTTAGCTTATGAAACCAATTCACTCAAAAAAATGAGCTAAAGGAATAAGGGAAGGGGGGGATTTTGGACGATATTTGGTTTTAGGAAACACTTGTGTTTAAGATCACCTAAAACCCTGGCATCACAACCATTTTGTTTGATTCTTATCTGCCTGCAAAACTCCTGAAAATCCTACCATCACTTCACAAACCCTAATGAACTTGCTTCATATTATGGTAAAGAGATAGCACTTACAAGAATAATAATGCAAGCATATATGTTTCACATTTGGCATGTAAGGGTTAAGTTAAGTGGCTTTATGAGGATACAAAAATGCTACACATAATATACATAACAACGCCTAATTAGTACACATTAATGTGTGTTTGTGAGGGTAAAGATTGGGTACATATCTAACCTTTAGCATAATGCACAAACTTTAACTTATAACCTCAAGGCGTGGGCCACAACCAAGATGAATTTGATCTATACATTTCAAATTCTGGCCATTTTTCTTGGGACATAGCATTGGTGATAAGGATTTAATGGTCTTATGATGCAGAATATAAGAAACTCAAGGAAGAGTAAATTCAACGAGGTGGTGATATTTGAAAATTGACATGATTTCAAAGAAAAACTGATAAGAACCATTTATAATTATGTTTCTAGTATTATTAACCTTATTTTGTGATTAATTTATATTTTTTAAGATTTTTAAGTCAAGGGTGTTTTGGTAATTTCAAATTTTGCTAACATGGGTTGTAGGGGTCTCTCATGGGTCGTCTTGTGGGTCAAGTTATTTAATTGGATTTTATTTATGTTTCTTATTTGGTCTTAAATTAGTTTTAGAAGTCAAAGATATTATAATTGTTTTTTTCTTTTGGTTATAGTTGATTTAGGAAGTCTTCTAATTCTATATAAAGTCATGTAATGTCTATAATTCAATAGAGTTGATGTTTTATTAAAAAGTGCTAGTTTTGAAGCTTTTTTATGGATTGTGTGATGTAATCAAACCCTAGGTGTAATGCTTATGGAATCTAGGACCATGTTTGTTTAGCAGATTAGGTTGGATGAGATTGTTGGTGATGGGATGGTTAGTGAAGGGATTAAATAAAAGTGTGTTTGTTTTGATGATAGTGGGAGAGATGATTAGTGATGGGATTGTTAAATTATTTTTATATAAAATAAAAAATATATATTTCAATATTAAAAAAAAAAATTTCTAAAACAAATATAATTTTTTTTTTATTTTTATTTTTTACAAATAATAGGCTGCTCTTGTATATATATAAAAAATAAAAAATAAAAAAAAGAAGAAGAAGAAGAAGAAGAAGAAAGGAAGAACACACTTATTTTTCCAATTCCCTCAATCTTTTTTCAATCCCATACCCTCCCTAGCTTTGTTAATCTGGCTGTGCAATGAGATTGCCAATTCGGCTGGACAAATAATCCACTCATAAATTTTCTCAACCAAACATTCTTTCAAAGTTCCAACCTCACTATTAGTCCAATCCCACCACTGATGCGGGATAACAAACACGGCGTAGATGCGATGCCTTGACCTATCTTCTTCTCTTCTATCTTCTTTTCTGTTTTAGTTTACTATTCACGGGTATTGTTCACAGCTCCTAAACAGTTCCAAAATCTCATCTTTCATGGTTAAACTCTTACCTGTTTATTACCCTAAACAAACTCTACTCATACCCTAGACTCTTGTGGCTGTCCCTAATTGTCCTACATCTTACTTTTTTTCAATGCTTCACTGAAACAATAGTAGAAATGCCAATTCTTCACTTTTTCCTGCAAAAGCACTGTCCAACTTTGTTGCTACTTTCTATCCAAAAAAAAAAAAAAAAAAGGAAAGAGAGAGAGAGAGAGAAGGAATATCATAGTTTGTATGCCAATTGATTGATAATGTGCTGGCTACAATTTTTAGAAACATGGGAGAAGGGAGGGGATGGCTTTGTGTGGGGGTTAAATCAAGAAATGTGTACTATTTGTTTTTAGTAGCATTATAGGAATGTTGTATATTTGTTGGTATCTTTTCTACATTGCTATGAATTTTTGTATTGAAAATTGTGATTCTATTTTATTATCAATGTTGCTTTTAACATTTCTGAACTTCTCAAAACATACATAGTTTTTCTTTGTTAATCCACTGAGTTAGTTGTGTAATTCAGATTTTCTGTGTTAATAGTTATGGTACATGGCCTCGGGTATGGGTGGGTATGTGTCCAAGTGTTTGATTGATATAATTCCCGTGTCCAAGACACAAACATACATGGAATATTTCTTAATATAATTTTTCATGAAAATTTTCTGGAGTAAATTGGTATTCACAAGGTGCCATAGAGCATTTCTGCCATAATATGGGAGTTTTATGTCTAGTTTTATGGTAAACTCAAATTACTAAATATGTTTGCTAGGTGAATGTCCCATATTCATACCCTTACCCAAGTGTCCGTTTGGGCAATAGTTTGTTGATCAACTTGCTCACTTAAAGAAGTAAAGCCACTATCATCTACGCTATTGTTTGAGTTCTTTTTTAAATATTTCATTGTGCACCTTTGCAGCTTTCTTGCAAAAGTATAGGTTCAGGTAAGCATTGATCTGATACGGGTACTTCATGCATTTAGAAGAGTCAATGTAACATGGGTTAAAAAGGGACAATTGCAGTGTTACAAACTTGGGCAGTCAAGCATGAATACCCCAGTTGGAGTAGGAGGGAAGCTAATTCATGAAAATTGTGACCACTCTGCCCTTCCAGCATATGGAATTGATAGGACAACACATGGCCTTTTATCTTAATATGGAAATAATATATAGTGAGGAATGTATGTAACGTATGTGTGTGTGCGGGTTTTTATTATTATTTATAAATATTATTATTATTATTATTATTATTATTATTATTATTATTTTGGACAAACCATTTGTGTTGAAAGTTTTGCAATTCTTAGCATTACACAGTGATTTCTTCAAGTTAGAATCATTTCTCTACCTTTCAGGTGTTCTGTTTTGGAATTTTACATCATTTCATAGTAGATATCCTTGGGAAGGACAGAACCTGAAGTTTTTGGACATAGATATTTCTGTAGCCAGAAGTTTTTGTATGTGTGCTTGAGTGAATGTGTGCTGTCTGCACGTGGGTGCCTCTCTTTCTGAACATTTGCACTTATGTCTGAATTATATAGCTTAAAGATTTACCTTTGCTATGTACAATCAGGATTACAGATCAGATACCAGAGGACAAAAGCTACTTGGTCGGAGAATGAGGAACCTTAGAAGACTGATTCCATGTCGTCATGATATACACAGGCTAAATGCTCCTTTCCTTGCCAATTATGAGACCTTGATACCACCGGAGGAAGAAAACGCGAAGCAAAAGCAACTGTTAACATTATTAGAGAAACTTGTTAGCAAAGAATGGCCTGAAGCTCGGTTGCATCTTTACGGATCATGTGCCAACTCGTTCAGGGTTTCAAAAAGTGACATAGATGTTTGCCTTGCAATTGAGGATCCAGATGTGAACAAGTCTGAGGTTTTGTTGAAGTTGGCTGATATATTGCAGTCAGATAATCTTCAGAATGTGCAGGTAAATGATCTAGCCTTCCAAGATTTGTGCAATGTCCTTACTGCTGTTCACGTAAGTTACTAAAATGATTTGAAAGTCAGCATAGTCAAATCATTACCAACTAGAAATTATCAAGTGGATTATTTGAATCATTTCAGTTTGCCAATTCCAATTATCACAATAACATTTTTATCCACACAATATTGCTGTAATAAAATAAAAGCAAGATAATAGACAGCGAGATTCATGGGAAAACTGTTGGGAACGACAAACCTTAGGATTCAAATCCACGGGTTACCTTGCCTGTCAAAAACTACTAGATCTAGAATTTAATACAAAGATTGAAGTAAATGACTTACAACCTAACCCTAGATTCATTGGCTATGATGTCTTCCCCTTCCAGCTCATAAGCTTGAACTCTACTTTTAAGTGGTTCTGACTCTACTGTCAGCCTTGTCTTGTCTAGATCTTCACTTTCCTTGCGGCCAATCGCAATCGGCTATTTGGCAAAAATAAGTAATGCATTAAGAGTGATAGAAGTGCATATGATGTGAGTGGTTTTTGCAAACAATTAGAGAAAAAACCGAACATTCTTGAATTAATATCCTGCTGGAGCTGCACGAGCCCTTCTTGTGTGCCACAAATGACCTACAAATAAGAAGAATGCTAGAAGAAAATGAGAGGGCAGATAACCATGGACTAGGTCTCAACTTCTGTGCTTAATTGTTAATGGGGGGATCATGTTTCTAAGTATGCAACTTTCACACATGAGATAAACAGGTCATAAATCTCGATGCAAGTTTCTCTAGGGTTATTAATATTAGTTTTGTATACAGGCTCTGACACGTGCTCGGGTCCCAATAGTGAAGCTTATGGATCCAGTCACTGCAATCTCTTGTGACATATGCATCAACAATGTTTTGGCTGTTGTAAATACAAAGCTTCTGCGGGATTATGCACAAATAGATGTGAGACTGCGGCAGTTAGCTTTAATTGTGAAACACTGGGCTAAATCAAGAGGAGTTAATGCAACTTATCAAGGAACGCTTTCTAGCTATGCGTGAGTTATAGCTTTTGTGGTTCATAGGTGTTTATTTTCCTATCCATTTACATTTTTAGTTACTAATAACTTTGATTGCTTTTCAGGTATGTCTTGATGTGCATTCACTTCTTACAACAGCGTAAACCTGCTATCCTCCCATGCTTACAGGTGTGTTTCATTTGATTGCTCTTATTCAAGGGAGTGTTTTGTATTCTTATTAATATAGCAACCATTCTGCTAGTCTTCCATTACATTTTATGTTATGAATCTCCTTTAGAATGTACTCTGAGGAGAAGATTAGTCTTGAAAGTAAATGTAATCATGAAATTTTCTTATGTTGATTTAGTTGGTCTTTCCCTTATTTAATTCGTGCCCTGCTTGTGCTTTTCCAGGGAATGGAAAGAACCTATGCTGTTACTGTTGACAATATTGAATGTGCTTATTTTGATCAAGTTGAAAAACTTTCTGGGTTTGGATCACGTAATAGGGAAAGTATTGCTCAATTGGTATGGGCATTCTTCAATTATTGGGCGTATTGTCATGATTATGCAAATGATGTTATATCTATTCGAACAGGAAGCATACTCAGGTGAGTAGACACTCTATATCTCATGGGAACTCGGTGTTAATTTCAAGCATGATATGTGAACTGTACATGCTCATAGAATGGAAGATCATGTCATGTCAAGTGTAGTGTTTTGTCCATTTCTTTTGTTCATTTCTTTTGTTCATTCCTGGGAATATATATGTATATATATATATAAACTATTTTGTTGGGATGCCCAAAAACATTAGCAGGACAAAAAAATCCAAATGGAAAAAAATATAGCAAAAGCTACCCAACCTACTGGATCCTTTTCATAAAAATTAAGGGTAAAAAGAACTTTATCCTATATATATATAAAGAAAATGTATAAGCATAAGGTAATAAGTTATGAATTAGTCTGGAGTGATGGCAAGTGTTAATCGCTCAATTTGAGTCACAGAAATTAGCCTGTACAAAAATAAAATAAATAAATAAATTGGGGATGGTTGCCTATCCACTACCACTCCGAGGTCTTGTGCATTGGTACTACATTTTTTTCTTTAGTAAACTATGAATCATGGTTTAAATTTTTGACTTTTTAATTATTTAGGTCCTTTTGCAGCTAAACTGCTTGTATGATTTAAAAAATTCCAAATGATTTCATAGAATTGAAGTGTCAATTTGAACATTGCTTATTAGCGTCCCCTATTTCTTTCATATTTAACAGCAAGCGAGCCAAAGACTGGACTAGGAGGATTGGAAATGACCGTCACTTGATATGCATAGAGGATCCATTTGAGATTTCTCATGATCTGGGTCGAGTGGTGGACAAGAATAGCATAAGAGTACTGAGGGAGGAATTCGAACGAGCTGCACAAATCATGCAGTTTGATCACGATCCTTGTGTAACACTCTTTGAACCATATATTCTTAGTTAACTTGATTCTTTGTTTCAGCAGTGTGGTTGTATTTATGGTGTTGGGTATTTATAGTTTTGTTGATCCGGCTTGTAAATTCCTTGGCATCATTTCTTCTTCTTGCTTTTGTTTTGTTCATCCACATAGACAGACGCGCACAAGCTAGTATATTTATACATATATATAGCGGTTTTGGCTTCAATTTGATGTAAGAATTGTATAGAATTTTATAGAGTGCTTCCTATATTAGTCTTTTCACAAGCTTTTCTTCAAGGTCTTTTGACCCATCTTTGGGATTTACTACTAAGAACAAAATTCAAGCATTTTTGCTTTGTCTTGTTAATCTTTTTTCTTCTTTGGTATGAAAGTTGAGTCAAAAACCGTCAACCGGTTGTTTGTTTGTCTGTCTGTCTTGTGCGTGAAAGGACTCCTGTGAGCAAAATTCCCTGTGCTTGTGTGGGGGATTTGTAGGGGGAGAAAATTTATTTAAAATCATCCCAAAAACATTTTTCTTCTTTTCTTTTCTAGGACATGTTCTCCATTTTCACCAATCCATTGTAGGTTGATCAATTGCTAAGTATTACTAGTAGTGCTGTAAACGAGCTGAGTCAAGTTTTATTGAGTTCAAGCTCGGTTTGTTTGTTTATCGAGCTTGTTTATTGAGTTTGAGCTCAGCTCAATAACTAATTAGGTTCAAGCTCGATTAGACTCGTTAATATTAATAAAACTCGAGCTCAATTTGGTTTGACTCGATAAGATTTTTTTAATATTATTTATATTATTTAAATAAAAATATTATTTATATATTAAATGTATTTATATTATTATTTATATAATTTAAATAAAGATAAACGAGTTAGTTTATTTGAGCTCAATCCCTTAATAAGCTGGACAGAGCCTATTTGTAAACAATTCTATTCATTTGTAGTCCTAATTACTAGTCAATAGTGAAGTGAAATGCGAAAACAAACCTAAGAATAGGAGTGTAAAAATGGTCTGCGGCTTGTGGGTGGCCCGAAGTCTGCCCGCGGCCCGGGATAGGCCTGGCCCGTTTAGGCTCGTTTGGGCCCGAGCCTAGTCCAAGCCACTGGGTTTGGGCCTGGGCTATCATTTTGAAGCCCGACCCGGCTCGGCCTGTGGTCTGGCCCATCGGCCCGCTTAAGACTTACTCAAAGCCCGGCCTATTCGAGGCCTAATGTCCTTTTTAGTGAAAATAAAATTTTGATAGCAAAATAAAAAAAAACAAAAAAAAAATGGTCAAGTCCGCCCAAGCTCGAGGCCAAGTCCAGGCCCACTAGGTCGGCCCGCCCAAGGCCCGAATATCCCTGGGCCTAGGGCTGGGCCTAGGCTTAATTTTTTGGCTCGTGGATCGGCCTGGCTTGGCCCGAATTTTAGTGGGAGCCCACAAGGCGCGCCATGGGCCGAGCTGGGTTCGGGCTCGGATGGGTCAAGCCTGGCTAAATTTACACCCCTACCTAAGAAGTGCATAAAAAGCAAGTCGGACTCATTCTGAGCTATGAGAATCACACCTAGAATAAATTTGAATCAAACATTGTGTTTTTTTATTTTTTATTCGAGCACTTCACTTTGACTTTTATTTACACATGTGACTTCACTTTGACTGTTGGGCTGGTAGAATCTATCACAGATCTTATTTTGATAATTTAAATTATTCAATGTATGGAATTCGTCAAGTATTTTATGCCTGCAAAAAATCATGTTGATTGGATATCGATAGTCTTTGATTGAAATATATTTTTGTTAATAACTATTTTTAAAATTATATTTACTATTGACAAAAATGTGTTCCGATCAAAGGGTTTTCGATATCCGATCAATGTGAGTTTTTGCAAGCATAGAGTACTTGACGAGCTCTACACATTGAACAGTTTGGATCATCAAAACAGGACCTGTGATAAGCCCCACATGTTTAACAGTACATTCCAGTTAACATGTGGACTGGCGAAAATCGTATGCTTATTAATTAAACAAAAAGTATTTTCTCTAAGGAATTGACTAGGCACTAAAATAGCTATAATTTTATTTAAAAGTACTTGCATGCATGATAGATAATCGAGTTAACAAACCTCTCCAATCTGTCTAGGTCTCTCCTATCTAACTCCTTGCGAGTCGAAATTCTATATAATCACGTCCAAAGAAGATTGCCACCTCTTACACTTTTTTACACACCAATAAAGGAACACGAATTACCAAAAACAAGACTCAATTCATTCACTCACTCATTGAACAATCAATGACAGTAGAAGGAAGAGGTTTCTTTTCAAAGAAAGCTTCCAAATTGGCAATCACAAGTTGGGAACAATCAAAAAATGACTCCTCAGTGAAGGCAGCTCTATGAGGCAACAAAACAACATTGTCAAGCCCAACGAGCTCTTTGGGCACATTAGGCTCATTCTCAAACACATCCAAACGGGCGCCACCTATCTCTCCCTCCACCAAACACTTCACCCATTCCTTCTCGTTGACGATTGCCCCTCGGCGGACGTTGACGATGACACCTCCCTTTCCTAGTGCTGTCATCACTTCTCTGTCGATCATGTGCCTTGTTTGGTCAGCCAATGAACAACATATGATGAGCACATCAGAGATTGATGCTAGTTGACAAACATTTGGGTGAAATGGGTGTGGAACATATGAGATTATACAGCCAAAGGCCTCAAGCATTTTTGCTACTTCTGTGCCAATGCTTCCTAACGCAACAATCCCAACTCTTTTACCTTCCAACTGAAAACCTTCAATTTGCCAAGTTAAGGGACAAAAAAACAAAATTATTGTAGTTCAACAATAGCTTTGATGATATGTTCAATAACAATACAAACATCACAAAAATTGATTCATTTTAGGACCCGTATTCCGCCAGAGCGAATACATTCAAAGTCATCTTCCAATTTTTAACCTATTTTTGAGTCACATCATCTCTTATATTTTTTATACATTTTTTCAAAAAAAATCAAAAAATTAATTTTTAACCATCTTCTCAAAACAACCCATAAATTACTTAAACACTACTCCAATACTATTAGACATTTTTCCCAACATAAAAAAGTATATTCTATTAAAACTCCATTCTATGGTAAGCAGTGGCGTGTTTGCCTATTTTATTGAAACTTTATTCTATGGTTAAGAAATGGCGTTGCATGTGACAAAATTCCTTCTTTAACATGTACATAAAGCTCCTGTCTAAAACAATTATGTACATAAAGCTAAAGTATCGCACTGATCTTTTGTTTAAAGTGATTCTTTTAGTTAAATCATTCATTTCAAAAGAAAATTCCAACTCTTTAAGAATAATTGAGTTTCTATGCTCCAAACCTATAAAATTTTCATTCACTTATATTTTTAACATCTCACTCTTCTCACATCTCTATCATGGGTCATGCTATAACATATGTAAATTATGACATTTATGATATTAATTATCACAAATATTATAAAATCATAATTAAATCTTTTTCAATTATAACTAAAATGTATATATATATATGTATATATGCATAACTAAATAAAATATTAGATATAATCAAAGACCTTTTGAAATTATAAACCAAAATGACTATAAATGTGGCATCCTTATGTATGATGTCTGTATAGCATTACTTTAAATTATATAGGAATTAAAAACTAATAACTGTAATTATTTGCTTTATTTCATTGCCGAACAAAGGAAAGTTGGTGAGAATACAACCCTTTTTTGGCCATATCTTTTACTTTTCCATGCTTATACATAAAAATATTTTGTTATATATAATATCTCCAATTTTATTAAGCATTTTATTTATTTAAAAATTACTATAATATATATAATATATTATCTTGTCTATTTATTTTTTTATGTTTTCACTTGGATCTTACTTTTTAGCTTAGCTATTCATTCAAGAACTAATTAATTTATGAAATGTGACATCAACAACAAGATTGACAGGAGAGAATCATAAAAATTAAATAAATTTTTGTTAGGGAATTTACAAAATGGGAATTTATTAGATTTGGGTGTTTCAAAACCTTCCTTATGTTTTTCTTTGGAAAACTTGAAAAAAACTTGGGGATTTTGTCCCACATCGGAAAGAAAGCAAAACATGGAGCACTTAATAAAGTGTTACATGGAATATTCCTTTGAATATGGAATTGTGAGATGGATGCTAGTGTACATGCACTCATACCGCAAGAATGGTGCTTCGCACTATCCGCACATGCGCGCTCGTGGTGTGGCGTTTGATGGCGCACTTCCTATTTGCATCAGATAGGTTGAAGCGATGACATGGATCTAACGTGGCATGGGTGACTTGGAAGACAGTCAGTGATGTTGCGTCTGTTGGCGATGAGTCAACAGCTTGATCGAACGGTTGCGTGTTCGATCTGGAGCGGTTTGATCATAGCCATTGATTGGAGATGCGTGCAATGGCACCCAATCATGATCAAATATGATCAGTCAATGCATCTATTTAGTGTGAGAATGATCTGCACCATAGATCGTTGATCCAATTGTCAGATCTGATCGAATGCGATCAAGGGACATGACTATTCAATCAGACACATCAATGCCTATAAATAGGCTGCAAGATCAACCATTTTAATCATCCGAAATTCAGAAAGTATTCCTACAATTTCTCTCTCTCTCTCTTGATTTAGAGTTTTCGATCAAAAGTTCCTTAAGCAAATTTTTGTTTTTCTTACTAGTAATGAAATTCTACAGACTTGATTATTAATGTCTTAGTTTCTTGACTATATCAAGAGTGTTCTGATCTATTGTCGTCAGTGCAGACGCCGGTAGACTTGATCTTTAGATCAAGCTTCATTGTATCCTAAAGTTGAATTTGTTGTAACCCCCTGCACACCTTTTGGTGGGTGCAAATATTATTTTTAAGAAAACGACTAAGTAACGTGACTTGAAGCACCAAATTTCTACGTAGACAAGATCATCGCCAAGTTTTGAAGACTCGAAGACCACCAACTAAAGAATTCAAGACGAAATGTTCCAATAATCTAAAGACAATATTTAGATATGGTGATGTCTATTCAGAAAATGACTCAAGATTTCATGAAGCTTGACCGATTTGATGGAGGAAATTTCTGACGCTGGCAAAAAAAGACGCATTCTTTGCTCACCACTCTCAGAGTGGTCTATGTGCTAACTGCCCCCTATCCGGTGAAGTAAGAAGACGAGACTATGGAGCAAACCCGTACCAGAATCAAATGGGAGAATGACGACTACATCTGTCGAGGACACATTCTGAATG